CCCTCCCTCCCTCCCTCTCTCTTCATCTCTGTCTCTCCATCTGTGTCTCTCTCTCCATCTCTGTCTCTGTCTCTCCTTCTCCCTCCCTCTCTCTCTCCCTCCCTGTCTCTCTCCCTCTCTTCCCCTCTGTTTTTCTCTCTCCCTCCCTCCCACTCCCTCCCTCTCTCTCCCTCCCTCCCTCTCTCCCTCTCCCTCTCTCCCTCTCTCCTTCCCTCCCTCCCTCTCCCCCCCCCCAACTCTTGTGAGTTTGGGCCACATCCGCCGAGCCTCAGAGCCTCCTCCCAGCTAGCCCTGCTCTCAAGGGTCACTCCTGCTAGACTTCAGACCGCTGGATGCAGTACCAGGGCTGGAGCCGGGGTCGGCTGCAATCGTGGCCCTTAGGGTGACATTTTTGAAATGCCACTTGGGCAGTTTTTCTCTTGTTTTCTTGTTTTCATGGTGGTTTTTTTTTGTTTGTTTTGCTTTTTGGGGTATCCCACGCGGCGGTGCTCGGGGGTTCCTCCCGGCTCTGCTCTCAGGGATCACTCCTGGCGGTGCTCGGGGGACCCGACGGGATGCCGGGGATCGAACCAAGGTTGGCTGCGTGCAAGGCAAAGGCCCTCCCCGCTCCGCTACTGCTCTGGCTCCCTCTCTTCTGCCATTTTCGCCAACTTCTTTCCTCCACAAGAGAGAAGACGTTTCACTTATTTCCTTTCCTTTTATTTCTTTTATGTCTTTAATCGAATCGCTGGAGCAATAGCACCGCGGGGAGGGCGTTTGCCTGGCACACGGCCGACCCGGGTTCGATTCCTCCGCCCCTCTCGGAGAGCCCGGCCAGCTCCCGAGAGGATCCCGCCCGCACGGTGGCAGAGCCCGGCAGCTCCCCATGGTGGCGTCTCCGAGATGCCAGACCCAGTCACAAGAACAAGTCTCACCATGGAGACGCGACTGGTGCCCGCTCGGGCAAATGGATGAGCCACCGGAGGACAGTGCTACCGTGCTACACTGACTGAATCACCACCAGACGCACAGTTGCAGAGTTGTTCCTAGTGGGGATTCAGTCATACGGTGTTCCAATCGCCCCGGAAAAGGGAGTTTTAGAAGGGCAGGCAGGAGGGAGGGAGGGAGGGAGGGAGGGAGACAGACAGACAGACAGACAGACAGACACAGAGAGACAGAGAGAAGAGGAAAGGAGGGGGAGAGAGAAAGAGAGAGAGGGAAGCAGAGGGAGAGAGAGAGACAGACACAGAGACAGAGAGACAGAGACAGAGAGGAGAAAGAGGGAAGGAGGGGGAGGGAGAGAGAGAAAGAGACAGGAGAAAGAGGGAAGGAGGGAGAGAGGGAGGGAGAGAGAGAAAGAGGGAGGGAGAGAGACAGGAGGAAGAGAAAGGGAGGGAGGGAGAGAGAGAGAAAGAGAGAAAGACAGAAGGAGGGAGGGAGGGAGACAGACAGACACAGAGAGACAGAGACAGAGAGGAGAAAGAGGGAAGGAAGAGAAGAGAGGGAGAGAGAGAGAAAGAGAGACAGAGAGAGACACACAAACAGAGACAGACAGAGGAGGAAGAGGGAAGGAGGGAGAGAGAGAGAAAGGGAGGGAGACAGAGACAGACAGACAGAGAGGAGGAAGAGAAAGGGAGGGAGGGAGAGATAAAGAGAGACAAACAGAGGTGAAAGAGGGAGGGAGACAGACACAGACACAGAGAGACAGAGACAGAGAGACAGGAGAAAGAGGGAAGGAAGGGGAGGGAGAGAGAGAGAAAGACAGACAGAGAGAGACACACAGACAGAGAGACAGAGGAGAAAGAGGGAAGGAGGGAGAGAGAGAGAAAGAGGGAGGGAGCGTAAAACAGAGACAGAGAGGAGAAAGAGAAAGAGGGAGGGAGAGAGAGAGAAAGAGAGACAGAGACAGAGGACAAAGAGGGAGGGAGACAGAGACAGACACAGAGAGACAGAGACAGAGAGGAGAAAGAGGGAAGGAGGGGGAGAGAGAGAGAAAGAGAGAGAGACAGAGAGGAGAAAGAGAGGGAGGGAGGGAGGGACAGTTGAGCAGGGCCCTTCCCTGAGCATGGCCAGGCAGGGTTGGATCCTGGGCACCCCCTGTGATCCCCCCGCCCGAGCCCACCGGTCATGACCCCTGAGTGCAGACCCAGAGATAAACACCATAAGTCGACCGTAGCCAAGCTTTCCGCCCAGCCCCGCAAATAATAAAATAAAACTGCACCAATTTGGGGCCCGAGAGGGAATGCCCCAGGGTGAAGGCGGTTGGGTGTGAGGAGCCCGCCCTGCTTTTGTTCCTGGTACAGCGCAGAGCCCCCAGACCGCCGGGTCTGTCCTGGGGAACAGGAAGGAGCAATGTCGTGGGACCCTCTGGGATGCCGGGGATCGAACCCGGGTCGTCCGCGTGCCAGGCCAACGCCCTCCCCGCTGGGCTCTCGCTCCGGCCCTGCTCTTCGGTTTCAGTAGTGTCTCCTGCCTCTGTGCTCAGGGGTGCCTGTTGGTGAGGCTCCGGGTACCGTGTTCCGTGTCGGGGACTGATTCGGCGTCCTTCATGCACCGAAGGCAGACGTGTTGGCCCCGTGCCGTCTCTCTGGCCCGGGCGTCCGTCGGAAAGCAGGAGGCCCGTGCAGACACGCTGGCCCTCCCGTTGCCGGCTGGCCGTGACTTTTCTCTGCTTGGCCGGCCGCACGCTCTCCGCAAACAAGCCGCGTGTCTGGGGGGGGCAGTGTAGGCGTCATTCACG